GAGAGAGGGAGGGAGAGAGGGAGGGAGAGGGAGAGGGAGAGGGAGAGTATTGAATCGAACGAAACATTTGAGGGAATGGATAAATTTTTCCTTCTGTAACATACCTTTTTACAAACGAATGGCAAAATTTGGGAGCTGTTACTGAAAAAGTACCAGAAGAACGGATATCTTTCTTTAGTAACTCATCCTAATCATTTTTCTAGGTACATTTTAAGATTTTTAGATGCAGATTTGCTCATAGTTTTTCAGGATATTCACAACAAAAATTCTGGATGAATAGTGCATGATATTAAAAAAACAACTCAAATGTTCAAGAGCTGAGATTTCCGGTTGTCGACTGGAACTGTTACCCATCCACAATCGTCTCCTTATTTCTTGCAATAACAGGAAGGGCTTTTATTCATTTATTTCCATTGAAATTCGACGAGTTTTCCCCCCTCAAAATTTTAAAAACTAAGAGGGGTATAATCAAATTCATATTACACATTAATTATCTTCAATCAATGCAATGAGATGCGAAATCATACACCATGTTGGTAACAAGCTTATCATTATTACAAACCAAACATGGGATTTTTTAAGAGGATGAGACTTGGATAGCGTCACAAGTAAAATTAGTGCTAAAAAAATTATATTTTCTGGCCTTTTTAATATAAACACAATATTGAATTTTATTTGAACTTGATGAATCTTAGTCATTTAAAAAGTCTGTTTAAAACACCCTATTGGCTCCCCTATAGTTTTCCAAGATCTTCACAACAAATTAATTAGAAAATTTTCAATAATATTCTCAACAACTGGCAAAATGTCCAAAATAGGAAAACATTCCATAACATTCTCTTCAAAAACCACTCCTACTCTAAATCGTCCTGTTTTGTTGTTAGTTTTCACGACTTCATCGCCAAATGCTTCCAGTTAGTTAAAATCAATAATTTACAATTAATTATCTCCCAACAATAACAACCTCCCAACTCACTAAATCATAATATTCAATGTAATCCCCTACAGACTATTTTCCCCACTTTTAATCTCAAAGCGTGAATTGCAGTCGTCTCTCGAGAAACTCTCTAAAACCCTCTCTTTCATGCCTCCCCAAAAAATTCCCTCTATCGCAAATAAATAATTCCCCTCATTAAGAAGCTTTCCCCCAGGCGTTCGCCTCGATTTCCCCGAATTTTCCTCCCAATATTTATCAGCATCGATAAACTCCCGAAATCCACTGGCAAATCCCATTATTACTCCTGCCCCAAATCTTTTCCGAAGCACTTTTCTCCCCCTAATAAGTCCAATTCAAACAAGTATCACTTGTGAGAAAGGGTGTGGCACACATTTCTAGCTATCCAAAAATTCCAATGACATGCTTTGTTGGCAATTAATATTCATATTTTTTTCTTACTAACATTACGGTTTTATAGGCTTCCCATTCGTCTGCCTTGCCTCTCCCACTTCTCTCTTCCGATTTTTATCTGCTTTACCATGGACCATCTTACTCTTAGCTGTACCCCTTTCGGGCTAGGACTGCACGGGAAGCCACGGATAACCCCAGCCGGCCAATTGTGCAGAACCCTAATGTACCTTTCTGTCACGCTGACAAGAGGGTACATTAGTGGCACATTCGGCCACTACACCGTGTAATCTCTGGTGCCTACCTTCCGAAATTTTTGGGCGAGGGTGTTCCCAAGCGGTCGCCCATCCGATTACTAATTGCGTTAAACGCAGCTGTACTCGGATATTCGCCGGAGCAACACCTAAATCACCCAACCATTATGCTCGGCCTTATTGGAAATTAAATTTTCGAGAAAAAAAATCCTTTTGCCTTTTTCACCACTTACTCATTCCCTAGATAATTTGCAAGGTTTGTATTCTTCTTGAATCAGATTAACAGCAAAATTGATAATTTATCTCTGCAATGAATGGTTTTACAAGAAAATATATATTTGACATTTTTTGGAAATCCGCACGGTCTATACGTATTCAAGAATTTAAACATACATTTTTTATAGACAATTGAATTCTCTAGAAAAATTTTGAAAATTCTTCTAGTTATTCATGTATTAAAAAAGACTGACTATTTTCTTCAAACAATAAACTCGTTAATTAGTTTTTTTGTAAATAAACTAGTCAGTTTTGTTAATTTCTTATTTGAAAAATTCCCTAATATAATCCCCTAAACTCACTTGTTTCCTAGATATCTTTGCAAATTAAAGAACTTTCATATTAAAATTGCATCTGTAACCCCAAATCAATCCCAAAGGACTCTTCTCCCAATAAACTCAATTCAAACAAGTATCACTTACTCCAAAGGGTATGTCATGCATTTGACTAAACAGTATCATATTTACCCAGTGACTGTACACACTAGAGTTAGAAATAGAAGTGGAACGACAACTGCCACTGGCTACGATCAAATGTAATATTTACCTTTTGCGTATTTGACTCTCCATGACTATATTCCCAGAGTAAACATAGAGCAAGTGAGGATATTCCAGTTTCCTTAGCAAGTGCAGCTAGCAATGATGACGTTAGGGCTATGAAGAGCATGAGTGGTGAACGAGTTTGATCGCAGTGTGCAACGTAAGTGAGAAAACAGGCGAGAGTTAGGAAACAGGCGAGTAAATCAGCACGTCCAACTATACCAGCAACAGCTTCACTGTGAATTGGATGGACGGCGAACAACAGACCCGTGATCGCGTGCGATAACCATCGTCCTGGTATTACCTAAAATGTTGTTTTGGTTTTTACGTTTGTTTGGGCGAAATAGGGATTAATTGGTTTCGAGGGGAGGAAGCATAAGTTTCGGTAATTGGGTGATTATTGGGTGTTGGAGAAGAGAGTTTTGGGGGTGATTAGGCCGAGGGAATGATTTTGGTTATGATGATGACTTGATGTTGACTGTTTCGTGGGTAATTGCTTGATGAGGATTTCATCTAGAGGAGCGTCAAGGGATTTCGATAAACGATTTTTGTGGTGTAGAGAAATTATTCAGTAACTATTTATTTTCATAATTTTAATCACGGAAGAAAAGAATAAAATGAGCTATTTTTAATTATCCATAACTAAATAGGCAAAGTGAAATTTAACATGTTTCTTCATCAAAGCTTGCCATTCTCCCTCAACTTAATTATTCCTCTCCCAGACTGGACTTGAAAAAAAAATTATGCCACTCGTTGCTTTGAAAAAACGAATAAAAATGATATGATGTTGATTATTTCGTGGGTAATTGCTTAATCAGCGGTTCATCTAGGGGAAGGTTAAGGGATTTCGATAGACGATTTTTGTGCTATAGAAAAGTTATTCAATAACTACTTGTTTTAATCATTTTTATGATAGGAGGAAAGGGTAAAATGTTGAGCTGTTTTTAATTATAAATAACTCAATAGACAGAATAAACTTTAACAATTTTTGTTTTCATTTTAAAGATGTTTTCTTGGATATTACAATGACTCCTGATAATTGCATCGTTGGATAGAATCGCTACTGCAATAAGTCATGGAATCGAATCATTTCATCACTTGACAATTGTTTTGAATATTAAAAAAACGAGTGGACAACGGAATTTTTTAATAAATAAGTATAGTTATTTTTGCTATTAAATTAGCAATTTACTTCCGAATGGATTCTCGTTTTTAAATTCTTATTTCATTATTGTCTTCTATTTTTTCATGTCATAGAACTATCAATTGACATCTCATCAAAATTTTGGGCATTATTTCATTTTCACAGATAATTCTACATTCAGACCCTCTCATGACTGGAATTCGTTTTCAATCTGGGTTTATTTAAGATTCAATCAAGGTTTAATCAATGCATAGCCGGGATTTAATCAGCGTTTATTCAGGATTTAGCCAGAGTTTAATCCAGGTTCAGAAGTTAGGACCATGAATCAATATAAATAAGTATTCAACATAATCGACTAGAGCCTGAGTTTAATCAAGATAGAGATTTTTGTATGAAAAACTCATGATGACATTGTATAACTTAATCCGCAATGATGCTGTTTTCACCATTTTTCTGATTTAAATGCTATTACTGGAGATATTGTCGGCAATCATGAAAAAACTGATTGTCTCATTCAAATAGCACAATGTGCTGTAACTCAACAAAGAATTGTGTGACCTCCGTCATATTTTGATCGAATCAAGAGGGTATTATTATCAATGTTTTGAGCAGTGACTAAAACCATTTTGAACAGTTTTTTGAGTGATCGTTGAAAAATCTATTTTTTGAAAAATATCTATTTTTTATAATCTAACTTAAAATCTGAATTACAATTGTAATTCAATAAATAGAGCTTATTAAAGTCTATATTAATGAACAAATTCATAAAATTCGATAGATCCGTTATACGAAAATTTCGAGAATACAAAATGAAAAAAAAAGACCATGTATATACAGGGTGTCCCAAAAGTGGAGGAATTCCCTGAAATGCAGCGTTAAGGGTTGAATTCTGGATCGAAAAGTCCAATGAAGTTTTTCGATCCGTAGCTTCATTAAAAAGATATTAATGAATAAAGTTTGGCCAATCAGAGGGCAGGGTTAGAGAGGCCCGTGTCAGTGTGTCGGCTGTGGGGTGTAGTGGTGAGCGCAGCAGTTGAGCTCACTAATCTCTATACTAACTGGATGGCTGGTCCCCTTACTCGCGGTTGAGGTAAATTGAAAGGTCACTCAGCGCCTCTATTACCGGACAGGGTACTAAGTTTAGCGTTAGTGCGTATGTGGCTCTGATGGTGCGGAGTGGGGCGTGGTATTTTACCATTAGGATTGAGAATTGTCCTTCATATTTTACTATTTCAATACTATACGAAGTTGAAAAGAAAATATACATTGTTTATCTCATTGACGTACCATATGTGTTTGGAGACGAAAAGCAAATATGAGAATTGGAGATTGCTCAAATCTACTATATTTCAATAGATTCTTTCGGAAAATGCAAACACCATAATGTATCATACTGCTTCAGTATGAAATTTACCAGACCCATATTCTGTACCCACTTTAGTTTTAGTTTTTCATCGTTTAGACACATTTGTAAGAGGAAAAATAACAATATATGTGAATTAACGTATTAAATTGAAAAAAATTAATGTGCTGCACATTTTATCAGTTGAAGTTCCGTTGAGGTTGACTTTTTAACAATCCCAAGTATATAACTATAATATGACAATGTACACTTACTCGTGAAATGATAAGTCTTTGCACTCTCTTTTTCTTTTTCGGCAAAAGACACACTGCACTATTGTGTTTGCGGGTTCCTTCGTCGCAGAAAACAAATAATAAAATAATCCAAAAATTAGGGGAGGGTAGGGTAAAATGGACACTTTTGACTTTTTAAAAATACTCATAGCTCAGAAACAGATTTATCAATTGAGCTCAGTCTCAGCTCATCACAAAGAGGAATCATTGTTTTTCAATTGAAAAATAAAATTATTCCATTTCATAAACAATTCAACACGTCATGAATAGTTCAAAAAAAGTCCAGTGTCCGTTTTACCCTACCATCCCCTACTTTGTGGTTATGGAAGAACGGTGAAATTACCATCCCACAATTTTATGAGAATCTTGACGCACGCGCATTGAGGTCTTGATTAGTACCCTGTCCGGTAATAGGGGCGCTGGGTGAGCCTTCAATTCGACTCAACTCCGACGTACTGGGCCCATAAGGACAGATCATCCAGTTAGTATAGAGATCAGTGATTGCGCTCGTTGGCTCGCCACTCTTCTGCGGTTGGCGAGGAGAAGGGGGAGCACTAGCGGTTCTCAATTCCGCACGGCTGTCATTTTTTTTCCTCTCCCGCGACGAATTTTCTCATCTTCGGATTGACATAAAGAGATGATATTGCGCTCTACCGATTCGGCAATGAATTTTCCATCGATTGAGGGCAACATCATATCTCTTTTTGTTGAAGGGTGAAATGAAATTTTCTGACCTTCAAAATGAGGGTCCTTCGCAGACCCTTCATATGTTCATGACCCTTAAATTGTGACCCTAAAAATGGTGGAATGTTGAACTTTTGACCCTGATTTTTTCTGACCGTTAAAATGAAGGTCCTCTGCAGACCCTTTACGTTCTCGACCCTTAAATATTGACCCTTAAAATTGTTGACCCTAAAAAAGTTGGAATGTCGCACTTTTAACTCCTATTTATTCTGACCCTTAAGATGAAGATCCTTTGCAGACCCTTCATGTTCCTGACTCTTAAAATGGCTGACCCTAAAATATGTTGCAACGACGAACTTTTGACCCTTATTTTTTTTACCCTTAAAATGGTACCCTCCAAAGGGTCCTTTGTAGACCCTTCATGTTCCTGACCCTTAGATTGTGACCCTTGAAATTGCTGACCCTAAAAATGTTGAAACGTCGAACTTTTGACCCTTATTTTTTCCAACCTTCAAAATGAAAGTGCCTTACAGACCCTTCATGTTCCTGACCCTTAAAATTGCTGACCCTAAACATTTTGCAACGTCGAACTTCTGACCCTCATTTTTCCTGACCCTTAAAATGGAGGTCCTTTACAGACCCTTCATGTTCTCGATCCTTAAATTTTGTCCCTTAAAAGTGTTGTCCCTAAAAAAGTTGGAACGTCACCATTTTGACCCTTATCTATTCGAACCCTTAAGATGAAGATACTTTGCAGACCCTCCATGTTCCTGACCCTTAAAGTGGCTGACCCTAAAATATGCTGCAACGACGAACTTTTGATCCTTATTTTTTTTTACCCTCAAAATGGTACCCTTTAAAGGGTCCTTTGCGGACCGTTCATCTTCCAGACCCTTAGATTGTGACCCTTAAAATTTCTGACCCTAGAAATGGTGGAACTTCAAAATTTTGACCCTAAAAATGAGGGTCCTCTGCGGACTCTTCATGTTCCTCACCCTTACATTTTCACCCTTAAAATTGCTGTCCCTAAAAAATATTGCAACGACGAACTTTTGACCCTTATTTTTTCTGACCGTTAAAATGAAGTTCCTTTGCAGACCCTTCATGTTCCTGAAGCTTAAAATGGCTGACCCTAAAATATGTTGCAACGACGAACTTTTGACCCTCATTTTTTTTATCCTTAAAATGAGGGTCCTTTGCAGACCCTTCATGTTCCTGAAGCTTAAAATGGCTGACCCTAAAATATGTTGCAACGACGAACTTTTGACCCTCATTTTTTTTATCCTTAAAATGAGGGTCCTTTGCAGACCCTTCATGTTCCTGAAGCTTAAAATGGCTGACCCTAAAATATGTTGCAACGACGAACTTTTGACCCTCATTTTTTTTATCCTTAAAATGAGGGTCCTTTGCAGACCCTTCATGTTCCTGAAGCTTAAAATGGCTGACCCTAAAATATGTTGCAACGACGAACTTTTGACCCTCATTTTTTTTATCCTTAAAATGAGGGTCCTTTGCAGACCCTTCATGTTCCTGAAGCTTAAAATGGCTGACCCTAAAATATGTTGCAACGACGAACTTTTGACCCTCATTTTTTTTATCCTTAAAATGAGGGTCCTTTGCAGACCCTTCATGTTCCTGAAGCTTAAAATGGCTGACCCTAAAATATGTTGCAACGACGAACTTTTGACCCTCATTTTTTTTATCCTTAAAATGAGGGTCCTTTGCAGACCCTTCATGTTCCTGAAGCTTAAAATGGCTGACCCTAAAATATGTTGCAACGACGAACTTTTGACCCTCATTTTTTTTATCCTTAAAATGAGGGTCCTTTGCAGACCCTTCAT